TCACAGAAAGTAATCTTGAGTATAAAGTGTCCCAGAGTCCAGCCAGATTGTCACTGGGATGCATTTAGTTGCTATCTTGCAGCAGTCAAGCTCCTTCTATTTCATCTTTCCCCCATGTTCCTCTCCAAAGCAACCTTATCTAAAAATCAGAGGTGGTAACAGCAACCCATGATTCTCAAGTCTCTTTCTTGAATTTGCAACTAATTCTGTATAATCGTAGTCAAATTTCTGGCCCTGTTACACTTCCCCTCCCACCAAAATGGCAACTGCCATACTACTACTTTTAAAAAGGGTTAAACACAACTAATTCTGAGTGTCAGGGTCCTTTGAACAACTTCAGAAGTGCACGGAGTCATCATACCCTATGAATAACACATCCAACAGACTGTTCTGCAAGAAGCTAAATCTCACTAATACTAACAAATTTCAGCCACCAAAGACAAACTGCAGCATACTTTCAACACAAGTTTTGTCTGCAACCTCTACCTTTGCCTGCTTCATGAAACAACAGCTACTGGTGCTGATTTTACCTCCCCATGTCAATCACAGACAGCAACAGCACATCATCAGCACTGGTTACAGCTCTGGCAGTCACAGCCAGCTGCAGTGCTTTTCAGGCAGGTTTGGTCTCGCCTCACCATCAAAAGAAGATTCACTGTTGAACCTGCAGTTTAACTCTAGTAACACGCAGGAAGGTACACCCCCAGCTCTCCACCTTGCTTTCTCACTTCAGTCACAGGTCTTGCACGCACTCAGCATAGCGTCTTCTCTGCAAGGGCAGCCCTGCAGAGTTAATTTAATGGTGTGAGGCAGCAGATTTCCCACAAAAATACAACCAGAAACATGCTGTGATCTTCAGCAAAGCTTTGAAGTCACTGGGCAGGGACTACACAGCTGAAATAAATAGTGATAGCCCCTCTCCTGACAACTGCTACTCCAACTTCTAGCCTTCACAGCAGTGAAAAATTCATATGCCAATTGTATGTTAAGCCCCAGTTCTCTTACCCCAAAAAGAAGAAAGCCAGTTATTGTGTAAAGTGAGAATGCTGATGCCCCTCATAGCTATAGGTTTGCATATTGACCAAAAAAGCAAGACCAGTATTTCAGGTCGGGCAAACAAACCAGGAACACATTGCCAGAGAGCTGTCAGGAGCCCTGCTCTTCCCACACAGTAGGAGTTGCCATCTCCAGAGACCTCCTGCAGATTATTTAACTATCTGCCATATTCTTGCAATTCAGCCTCTGCTGAAATTCAAGGCCAAGATTATGTCACACGGGCTTGCCCTTACCCCAAAGGAAGCAGCACCTCTGCAATATAAGAATTAGCAAGAGGATACAGAAACTCTGAATTGTAACAGAAATTTGGGATAGTTCCTCAGCAGCCTTCAAACCAGAAGCCTGAGTTTCCTCTGAATGCTCTGTGATGTGAGCAAGGAAAAAACCCACACTTTGCAGAAGTGGTTTGTGCAGTGAAATCTAGCCACCGTCGCTCCAACTTCTAGCCACATGTAAAGGCGAATTTTTCTACTAAAATGTTCACAAAAAGAGGAACTTTGAGACAAGAGCACAACCACGCAGAGACCTCTCCAGAGCCTGCATGAAACACAGCAGAAACACACACCTTTGGGCAGGTCTGAAAGGATAGGCAGAGTATCATCTTTACCTCAGGAAAGCACTGAATCCCAGAACCAAAAGGTGGTTTCCCAAAACTGAACTATTCTGATCCATGACAATGCCATGGTCAACCCCAACCTGGCTGTGATTCTGTGCAATCCCTCAGAACTGTGGTCTGGATGCCTTTTGCCCCCATATTCCTGTCACACACCAGGGCTAGGGACAGCAGTGACACGCCTGCTTCTTTCAGTGGACAAAAAGCAGTGCCCCAGGGACAGCCATTTCCAGGAAGATCCCAGCCCCCAGGAGAACAGGAGCATAGGCAAAAAGGACAGTCTCCATGCAACTGCTGCACTATTTTAAAGTGAAAAACAAAACCAAACCCTTATTTTTCTAACAAATTCTGCAAAACGTTTTTCAGTATTTTTCCCTTTTTAGGCCAGATAGCTAGGATATTCAAAACCAGCATGCCTTGAACCGAATCAGGAATTAAGGTCAGCTGGAAAATGAGCACGCTAACATTTTGTCATCAAAATTGGGTGTTTAATAAGTTATTAAGACTGCGAACCCCTCCTGCAAGAAGCAATTACTTTTCTGACCACACAGGATAACCCTGGGATCATGGAATTCAGCCCAAGGATGGGAACTGGCCTTCTGCTTTTGTCTCAAAATAGCATCATTATCCCAGAACATCTTTCAGCAAAGGCAGGAACAGTTAGCCATATGCTTTCTGCTCTGAAGTGCAGAACAGTGAAGAACAGGGAAGAGAAAACTCATAAATCAGCAGAATGGATAAAACTACCCTTGATTTGCAGCCATTTGCCAGTATTCACAGGAGAACCGGGGTGGAGCTATTTCGTTTCAGGCTCAGCGTGACAAGCTTTCATTGCACCTGAAGCTGCTGACAAGCACAACTTGTCAGTAGAGCCAGATCCAAACAGCTCCATTTTAATCCTCCAGTGAGATTTTCATTCTCCAGGCTACTTCTAAGAGGATTTACCCAGATTGTTTGCTTTCATTACCCTGTCTTATTCTCTGAATAGTTAAAGTTATTAATTATTGACCAAGAAAACTGAACAAACAGCTTCACGCCAGAGCCCAGATTACAACTCAGGATGCTTTGATCAACTTCATAAATGCTGTTTCTAGGAGATGAGACATCAGCGAATCTCAAAACTACGTGGCAGCAAATCCCCTATCTGGAGCTGTGCTGCTCGCTCTCCTGATGCCAAGAAAGGCATTGCTCCACATTCTGTGTGGGGGCCATCACAGGCTTCCAGATAAACCAGCTACTGGTGGAAAGTGGCCAGAAGCAGCCAACAACAGAAGCTTTTCCGAGCTGCTTCTACACTACACAGAGACGCGGCAGGGACACAGCTCACTAGAAACAGATTTAACCATGCCAGGAAAGAGATTTCTTTCAGAATGCAGGCATACCTCCCGGTCAGCCATCATACCACCCCGAAATCCTTTCAGGAAGTGAGACAATTCTTCATTTGCTATCCCAGACAACGTGTCAAATGGCTGCATGCCTACAGCCACTGAGACACACATCCACTGGAGTGATACTCCCTTCAGAGAGCGTGTGAAAAAAAATACCACATTACTTTGGAACAGAAGTCCCACAGAAAGACTGGTGCTTGCCTCAGGAGGCAGCACACAGAGTATATCCCTGGTCTGGGCAGCTGACATTCCGGTCTTATCAGTGTCTCTGATCTAAACTCCCTGTTAAGCACTTTGTCTGAAGCTCTGTCTGAAGTGAGCATCCTATCATTTAACTCACCAGCTCCTGGTGTCCAGAAAACACCAGCCACCTCAGTCAGTTCTAGCTATTATCACTGAAACGGTGGAGTCCACACATCTGTCCCTCCCTAGTTTCAGCAGTAGGGAGACCAAGGTGCAGAGCTTTATAAGCCTCAAACCTGAAATGCCAGCCCCATGGAAAAGAAGATTAGTTACACATTTGCACATACAGCAAATCTACAAGACATAATGGCCCAAATGCTGAACACCTGGCCCGTCAACCTGAGCAGCCTGAGGCACACAAGAGACAAAGGACAACAAAGTTCAGTTTGCCATTATCATTTTGCTCCCCAAAAGAGGTACAATGAGAGGTCAGGAGAAAGCAAGCCCATTCTAGAAAACAGCACGGAAAAGAATGATGTCAGCACAACTCTTACCAAGGCAAGCGCCTGAGAATCTTCCCTGTGTGGTCAAACCCTGCTGCAGAACAACCCCAGATCAGGAGGACTCCAGCTTGTGCTCTGCTTTGCTGCAAATTCTTATGTGGGGCAGGGACCAAGGTACAGAGAAATGGCAACAGTAGGGGTAGGGGGTGGCTATAATCAAGGAGGAAGCATGAATCAAGTCACAGCAGCTTGAGGAGGCACTTTTTTTTTTAAATAAGGAATGCAAGATAAACTGGGATTATCCTTCCCTCAGACTTACCACAGCAAGCTAAAAACTACCCCCAAAACTCTTTCTTATGGAGATCTCAGCAGTAAATTGCCAAGGATTAGTGTAATTAAAATATGGATAAGACAACCACACAGAGAAAATCCAAATGCTTGTCACCCTGAATGATCAGGTCTTTCTATTCCTCCTATTCCAGATTTCTGTAAATGCTAGTTTTGGACAGGATGGCAAGCTCTGGCCATTCAGTATAAAAGAGCTGCCAGACCTACTAGGGGTTATTCAGTCAGCTGAGGACCTTGCAGGTATGCTGCCTAACTAGGTAATTTCTGTGGCATTATCATGCAAAAAAACACATCTCGTGCTCACAATATAGTCAAGGGCCATACCTAACACAATTCAGCAAAAGCAACCAAGTCCTGCTAAAAATACAATCAAGCCAGTAAGAGCCAAGAAGGAATGCGCGTTTAACCCAGGTTGATGGAAAATAACACATCACAAACATTCAAAAAGCTTGGTGCTCCTCCTCTTTACATCACCAGCGGTCATTGCCACTTGGGCCTGGCATTTAGCAGATGTCCCCACAACCCCACTAGAAAGACCCTTCCTCAGCCTAGCTGCATCAAAGTTAAAAAACAGAAAGACTGCTACCTGCTACTTCCACAATGTGGTGCCTGGCGATATCATAGTAGGGATCATCCCACTGCAGGTGAGTGACGGCTTCAGGGGAGCCTTTGCAGTCCTCTGTGCAAAACACAAGGAACAACCAATTAGAAGGGACCTGGAGTACCTTGGCAAGGGGTATAATAGAGAGAGAGGGATGAGGGGGGGAAAAAATGGCTCTTCAACATAGGAGGGACTAATACATTCACCAGTCCGCCTCAGAAACCCACCTTTGAAATTCTGAGTGGGCAAGAGCAGAAGAGACCTGTCAATCCTATGAGGGCCATATGTGTGTCTCAGACTGTACACCCTCTCAAAAATGACTGTTCAGATGTGTCACAAACATTTACAGAGACCAAAACCCAAGTGCCAAGCGCAGTATCATGGCTTTTTAGAGCTGGAGGATCCGTCCTATATGCCCTTGAGCTAATTTCCCTGACCAATCTGGGCTGCAGTCCATAGCACAGGATTTCACAGCAACAACTTGCATCTCCAGCCCCACCTCCCACATGGAAGGTCAAGACCCTTCCACTCAAGAAGGCCAAACTATCCTGCAAGGGTTCATAGTAGAGGACACTCAAGGACTTACAGCATGTCTGTGCAGTCAGCACCACAGTACAGCCAGCCACAGGACTGAGTATATTTCCATCAGCTGGCTCTGAGCTTTTTAGTGCTGTGCAATGGAAGGGCTAATTCACTCGGGTGTGGTGCAAGATTAATGTGTCTACAAAGCTTTCAAGTGGAGCTGGGGCTCTCTGTGTATGCAGATATGACCACAATGCTGCAGAACAAACAATTCATTTTTGGCCAAAACCCAGACCCCAAGCAAGCAGGATACTTACCCGATTTGGGGAAAGCAGGGGCTTCATCTGCTGGCCAGCTCTTATCATCATCTATGGAGGCCAGTTTGAGCTGGCTGAGGGACTGGGTGGTATCATCCAAGTTCAGGTCATCCTGAAGCTCCGAGAGTGGGTCTGCAGCCATGGTCTCCAAATACCACAGTTTATTTTGCAGCGTCTAGAATGAGGACTGCAGAGATTGCTAGGTGAGACACAGAGATCACAGGTTTACCTCCCCATAGAGGCTCTTCCTCTTCTCACTGATTTTCTCCAAATCCTCCCTTATCTTTACTTATCCAAGGATCACACTTCCCCTCCCCCTGCTAACACCAGCAGGAACTCCTCCTCCTTCAAGCCAGAAGCATGGACTTTTGCACAAGTTGCTATCAAAAGGCCATCAGGAGCTTGCACCAACCCCCTCGGCGAGTCTCTGACCACAGCTCTGTCCAGAGCAGTTTCTCTCCTGAAACAGAAGCAGCAGCAAGAGGCTGAGGAAGGCGACAGGCTACACCAGCCCCTGCCTGATACACCCACTGTACCAGCTCTGAGCTCCCCCTCCCTCCCAAGGGCTGGCACAAAGCCCGGCTGTTTCCACAGTTGGCCCAGTGCTGGAAGCTTTCCCAGGAATCACCCCCCCTTCTCCCCATACGGGAGGGCCAGAGCTCTCAACAACACTGAAGTGGGTGCTTCAGCGTGCTGGGATCTGAACCCAAAAGTGAACAGCTTCTTAAAACAGGATTTCGTAGGCTGAGCTAGAAAGACAGGGGGAACAATACACATACAACCCTAACCTCTTTTCAGCATCACCCAGCAAATCCTTTCTCCTACAGGACAATAAGCTGCAAGGAATTGTCTCTTTAATTTAAAGCTATATTGCTAGGATGGGTGTTTTTCACCATGCATGCCATAATACTGAGGAGACCAAAGAATTAAGAGAGACTAAGAAACAGACAGCTCAGTGTGTTTGCTGCTCCTTACAAATACTTCTCACTCTCACTTGGAGCAGAAGGTATGTCAAACCCGGGACTGAGCTAAGCACAGCACACAGCACCTCCTAAGGGTACCAGTTCTTAGGGATGACCCCCTAGGAAACAGCTGTTATCCTCTAACACCAGTGTCCGGGAAATAAGCAAGGAAACACTAGAAAGGACAAGTACACAGATCTGGATTGCTCACACAGACCACACGGACAGCAATTCAGCAGCCAGCAGGCAGCAAGCCAGGAGGACTGTAGCAAAACAAAATGACACCTTGCATCAGCAAGACTATCTGTAACACCGTTTCTCGACAGGCTTGTGCTTGTTTGGTTTTACGAGGAGAGCAAAGGCTGCAACGATGATCTGAGGAGGCACAACGCCTTTGTGTGGAAAGACTACATTCACAGGAAAGCTATCTCCTTTAGCAGAACAGAGGGGGGCAACGACGTTTTGCATCTTCCATCCCTAAAGCTTGAACGTGTGTATCTGGAGAAGAGGATGACACAGTTACTTGGATGTTCCCACAGAAAACAAATACTGTGGGAGACTGAGCATTGGAAGGCGTCACATCCGTGCTCAAGGCAAGACTCATGACCAAGCCTGGGGATGCGTTTTGAGAGTACAGGAAATCGGATATTCAGTGTTTGTCCTCTCCCTCTGGATCACTTCATGCTTACTATTTCATGTCTTTCCCTTAGCTGTTACCAGTTTACAAACAGTTTTCACCCCTCTGGGGCTCCCACGGGGCTGGGAGCTGTTGCTAAGCAAATGAAATTAGACTCTTGAAATATGAAAGAAATCACCAAGACAGCACAGCAAACACACAGGGTCTGACCACTGCAGCCAAGCAGAGACCCAAGCAAAATTATTCCCTGCCCTCTGATGAGGGCTGTGAGAGCTGTCTGAGCCCCTCTGATCTCAAAGGGACAAGGAGCAAGAAATCAGGTTCCCTTGCACCGTGAGCTCACGCTGGAACCACGCAGCAGCAGAGCCAAGGGACAAAGACTCCCCACCCCTAGCAGCTGATCCGATTTCTATGGAAACACCAGGCACCAACTCTTATGACTCAGTGTGCTTAAAGCATTCCCTGCTGCAGCTCCACAGCCCCACAACCCAGCACCCCACCCTGAGGAAGCATCCAGAGTCCCCCAGGGCAGCCCCTCAGCATTCCCAGCTCCCAGGGACTTCCCAACCCTGGTGGGGACAGAGGACCTACACTCAACTGCTGCCATCCACTGAGATGCCTTTCATGAGAGATTCTTGGGAATGCCCAGTAGCAACAGTGTCCCCAAAGTAAGGTCCTGAAGTGCTATGGGGATCAAATCCAAATCTTCCCAGAGAGCAGTGATGGTACTGTCACAGGGCCAGCAAGACATCAAGTGTCCTCACTTGTCCATAAACAGATCATGACTTGGCTTCACCATCAACTTGCAGAGCTTGATCAGAGGCAGATGTGCTGATTGTCAGACAGCACTGGGGGAGTTCCCCTTAGGCATAAAATTAATCCTGGTGTGGCACCATGTGGAAGAAGGAAGTCGTTAGTAGGATCCTTACGGTTCCACACCAGAAAAAGAGCTCAGTGGATAGTGCTCTTGCCAAAACCTTCCTTACCTCTTGGAAAGGCAGACCAGACCCCCCACACTGATACTGCCACATGTTTTTCACAGCCAGGCAGGCAGCTCCATTCCTTGGCTCTAGGTTTGTGCTCCATGGCAGAAATGTCAATGGAAGGAGGATCCAGAGCAGAAGAACTCTTAGATTTCAGGTTCTTCCTGTGAACCAGACTGTAGCTCCCAGAGAGCTCTAGAATGTAGAGGAGTTTCTTGAGCAACAAGGGCATGTTGCAATGTGGGGTACTGTGAACAATCCAGGCTTTGAGAAAGACACTGTGTCCAAGGACAGTTGGGGAATGAGAAACTGAGTATCAAAGGAAGGTTAGGAACTGAGGAAATAGGTAACAAAGAGACAGTGAGAAAGAAAGCTAAAGCAAAGATATAGAGAAACCACAAGGCTTGCAAAAACCAAAGCGTGCTGTTAGCAATATAACTAACCAATCATTATAAGAGGCGTTATGCGAATAGTTGAACCAATAATATTATGCCGCATGTATTCCTTTGTAGTATATAAATATGCCTGTGTTTCACAATAAAGTAGAAGCATTCACCATACTCCTATGGAGGCTGTGTTTGTATTCCGGAGCTCCCCTAACCCTTCACTAGAAGGCTTTTCCAGAATTTTCCCCAGCCCTTTCCCAGAAGTGCAATAGACAAAAGCACGGGGTCTCACATCAGGTAATCCTAGAACAGTTCAAAGAAATATAATCTTCTAAATGCCTGGGAAACAGCAGGCAGTGAGAAGGAGAGACCTGGATTTAGGATGTAAGAAACTACCTGGGGATCTTAGTGTAACAGTACACATTTTACTTCCTGCCTGTGCAGCTGCATGAGATTTTTCCCTGCGTACTCAAAACTGACCTGTAAGCAGGACATGTCATTAAACAAAGTCCAACCTGTATCAGCATAAGGGTGAAATGGTTGTCAAAAACCAGCATCTCACCAGACATAACACATTTAAGAACCCCACTTGTTTCGCATAAACATCATGAAAAAATGCAAGCGATACACTCTGTACAGCCAATCACAAGGTAAGAAAAACGACGTACCTAGATGTAAAAAGCAAAAAGCCCATTCAAACACTTCAACTGAAGAATCACACTTAACATCAGAAGCATTTACTTAGTGCCAAGCTCTAAAGTACAAACTGTTTCCATTTTTTTCAAGCATTTGTTTTCTGCATCTACACTGGGTGACGTGAACACTGGCCGTCTAATAGAAAAATTACTTTCCTGCTTGCAGAGAGATATGCTGCAGAACAGCAGGTTCTGCTGAAGGAGAGAAACCTCAGTCCTTTCAAATACAATTTTCACTCAAATTCTGAGCTGGATACTCTTCATACTAGATTCCTCCAGAATTTACCCAGGGAAGACAGTTCACTTGTATCTATGAACTCTTGGTAGCTGCTGTTCACACACACTGGGCTTTTTCTGCATTTCCAGTTTCACTACTTTGCCATCTCTTATTTCTAAGCTGCACCTACTCAGCAGTTTCTTTTTCCTGTTTTTCTTCCAGATGTACTCTTCATTCAGAAGTAAACCTACACATCAAAATATGTCCATGCATGTATTACCACGCCCTGGACCTCTACTCACACACAATAAAGAATTACAAAAGCCAAGTGGCCTCTTCTTCCCTGCCTGATTAACAAGCAATGCTCAGACCCAAAGGAATCCTCATTCTGACGTGAGAGTATTATTTTTCTGACTCTGCTGCCACCTGCACCTCCTCCCAGTTTTGTTTCATTTGCACAAGTGTCTGTTCTGTACATATCAATCAAGTCCCTGACCTTTGCTATAGTCTCACTATCAAGCACACTGTAAAAAAAGGAAGCACCTACTCAGCAGCAGACCTTCAAAGCACTCGCTCACATGAATGAGCTCCAGGACTGAGACTCACTGAGAAAGTCCAGCCCAAGTTTTCCCTCACATCAAGACTCATGATACCACTGAGAGCACCACTAAAGCAGTACGACCCTGAAAGACTGGCTCTGTCTAGCACACCATGACCAGTTAACTCAGGACAAGCACACTATTGCTTGGGGAAACTCTCTGGCCCTTCATTATTTTAACAGCTTTTTAAATGAGCAGCCTTCCTTCCCCACTCATATCAAACTCTTTGCTGGAGGCAACCTCCATGGCTGCTGGAAAGCCATCCCAGCTAGCAATCAGCCTCCTCTTAGTGGTTCTCTGCAGGGCCTGAGAGCAAAAGTGCGGAGCTCAGCTTCCTCCTTTGGAGCTGTAGCACAAAGTCCAGAGGCTGCTATCTGTGCTGTGCAGGATCCACATGAGGAAATGGGGGCACACACAAACCTACAGGGGCTGCACCTCTCTTCCTCCTCCCCATAATGCGTTTACGCTCTCCCATTCCCTGTAGACTGAACTACTGAGAAAACCCAGAGCCAACTCCAAGATTCAGATAAGAGACTCAGATTTGCTATTTACACTCTTAAAATAAACCCCCAACTTCCCACAGCACATGCCAGCTGCATAACAGAGGAACATTCAACGGCCTCTGCTGTTAGGCCCCAAAAAGAGAGGCAAGTTACCACCTCACACACCGCAGCACTCCTACACCGCCTT